TTCCTCAGGCCAGGCAATCGGCTTTTCTCTCCTGTTCCTCACTACAGCGACACGGGGGCTCACACACCCTTTACACTGTTTAGACCAGGTGCTATATGGGAACAGGGGAGCCCTCTGCTGCAATAAAGACCAGCTTCACATTTTCACAAGGGCTCAGTATGGAGCTAACGCCACATCCACCAATTTAAAATCCACCCAAACAAAATACAATTAGGCAAATCCCATTTTAGAAACTTCCTTAGGGTTATTACCCGGGGCCTCAGGGACACAACCTGAGCCAGGATCCTCTCCCCACCCAGAAGAAAGGGAAGATTTTCTCCCCACTGAAATAAGCTTCTGGGAAAGTGAAGATTGGGTCTGTGTGATCAGCACTGGAAAATGCCACCCGGCCCTTTTCATAGTCCACCGAGATGCAGATCCTCTCGGGGACATGGTTCAGAGACAGGGGAGCTACAGGGGAGGTGAAAGCCCGGTACTGATCCCCGCTGAGCCCCACAGCCCAGATCCCCTCCTCAGGGCAAAAATTCACCCACCCCTTCCTGCCCACAGAGGCTCTGGAGACCCCCACAGCCCAGGCCCCAGAAAGCCCTGGCTCCACCTCCCAGGAGCGTCTCCCCGAGGTGAAGCCTTGACAGCCCAGCACACAGCGAGAAGAGTAAAACCTCTGGTGCCGGACAGGCAGATCCTGCCGCGCGGCCACCCAGCTAACGCACTTCTGGTCCGCAGACAAGAGGAGCCACGGATTGGCGGTGTCTGGATCCAGGGTCACGTTTGCTTCAAAGTCAAACAGAGAGTTAGTGTCACGGGATGAAGCAGCTCGGTCCGTGGCCCAGACAGGAGGGAGAAGATGGGGGCACCAAATAGGGCACCAGCCCCAAAGCAAGGATGAGGTGGGCAGCGCTGAAAGCAGAGAAGCAAACTGGCCCAAGAAACTGGGACGAGGAGATGGAAGAGGCCGGGGAGCGAGGTGGGGAGGGAAGGGAGACGGCCGAGGGCAGGGACTGCGCTATACTCTTCTCTGAATGGAAAAACAACAGCAGGCAAATGTCTGCCAGAAATCAGGGACAGAGTTAAGGATATCTTTGACCTGCGCAGTGACGGTTTTCCCTGTCTGCTGGGGAGCCAGACACAAAAGCTGGTGTTGGGATCGTGTGGCCGACCTTAGCCCTTTTTCTGTGAAAAACTCTTTCCTTGTAACTGCATATTACTGAAGGTGCACTTTTCTTTCTTAAATGTAATGCCTGATGCTTTTTCTGAATATAAGAAAACTAGCAACATAGAGACTTACTTTTCCCATCGGTTCCTGGAGATTTTTCCCAATCTTTGTCCAGGTGCGATGTCAGGGTGTCTGTGTGGGAGGGGGGAGGAAGGGAAAAGAAGTCTGATTTCATGGGGTTATGTTTATGGTGATATTCCCACTGTTTAATTAGCATAGTTATGTCGTTAATGTTGATAAAACAGCAAGTGCAAACAGGACAAAAACAGATTCAGGTCTTCCCAGTGAGGAGAGGTGAAAAACTGGCCTGAGCCTGCCTCCTCCTCCAGTTGTAACGACACCTCTCACTTCTCATCAGTACCTTGACATTTCCTCAAAGTCTCCCTGAGGGCGACAGTGTGATGAGAAAAAGCACTGAGCTTCCTTTCCAGTTCGAGAAAAGTCTCTGTCGGCTTCTGTGAATGCAGCTTGTTACACCTGGGAACAAAACATTGTGATTATTTCTGGGACACACCAGTGGCAGACACTAGGTGAAGTGGGCTGCATTGAGTTCCTCTGGGTATCCTTGCCTCCGAGCAGAAGCAATGTCCTCACTAGCTTCCTTCAAAAAGGCTGCATTTCTAACCAGGGCCTCTGATATGTTAGGACCAGCTCCAGGCCTAAGAGGGAGGGGAGGTCAAGTCAGTCCTTCATGATCAGTCTCATTTTGACTTCCTCCCCTGACAGCCAATCTAGTCCTGGGGAGCTTTGCCCCAGGGTATTGCTCCGTCGGGCACTGGGCTGAGACTTCACTACCTGCACAGCTCACCTCACTTATGGCATCTTGGTGCGGGGTGGGGGGAAGAGGTTTTGCCAGACTGGCGTGGGCATGAGTGTCACCAGTGACCTAGAGATAAGAGGTCCATGCTCTAGCCCCTGAGTCTGAAGGCAGCCAGACCCCCTGGGGACGCACTTGTTTAGGTGATAGTTTAAGTCTTTTCTCTATTAAGACAGAGACTTCCAGTGACTTGTACAAAGCGGTGACAGTCCCTGGTTGATGTTCCACAAAGGATAATTGTATCTGGGGTGCGTGTAATCTTGATGAACATGCCAGCCTGATGGGAGATGGGAAACATAGGTTTGACACTGGCTCTCAGCCCCTTCCCAATGTAATGCAGATTGAGAGTGAGTGAAGAGGAGCCACCTACCTGCTCCAGGTATTTCTCACATCCTAGAAAGGAGAGAGAAAGAGAGGGAGTTCAGTCCCACACGACACTCCTGGCGAACCCTCCTGCACTGAAAGAGGCTCACTTTCCTATTTCAGTCTGAGTGCCATGTGCAGCTGCCAGAATTTGGATACATTTGCTCCCTGGGCTCACGTTTCAGTAACCGTCCTTTATGGGGGCCAGGACCCAAGGGGTTTATAATGCATCTTACCTTCAGGAATTCAGTCGCTGGCTGCTGGCACTTCCTCTCTGCGTCAGTGATCAGGACATTCAGAAGTGAAATCTCTCCAGCAAGTTTGGTGGCATTTTCCTTATGCCTCCTGGCAATCTGCCTGTCCACATCTCCCAGTCGAGCCAGCAGGAGTTGCTCTTGTTCCTCCAGGAACTGATGCAGTCTCTGAAATTCAGATGCAATCTTCCGCCTCTCCGCTTGCGTCTGTTTCTGTGGCAGACAGGGCATAGGGCAGGTTGCAGACTTAAGAAAGCAGGTATTACATACCTCTTTCCTTTCAAAACATCATCTCTGAAAACTTAGGTAAAATCTTTATCCTATCAGGCTGGCTGTCTCTTAGTGAGTTTAATATTACAGAATTCAGTCAAATTATACACTAAGAAACCTGTCTTATTTCAGGAACTGTAATCTCCTTCTCTCTTAGGTTTCTAACTATGTTATTGTTCATAATTTGTCTAGTTTATAACCACCTTATAATTTTTACCTCTTAAGATTTGTTCTTATTCCATCATTTTTCAAGTTTTTGGTTTAATTGTCCATAACTTTTTTCAGGTTCTGTTTTATTATCAACCACTTCCCTTTTTTCAAGTTCAGTAAGGATGAAATGGTAATAACAACTCCTTCCATTGCAATGGTGATAAGAATTCTAGTATTGAACAGCTCTGTATGTACTTAATGTACTTTCAGGGTAAGAGTTTTATTACAGTTTTCTTATAGACAGTCCTTCAGGATTCCTGGTTTGTTGGGACAGGGCTCCCAAACCTACCTCAGACCCTCAGACCACGTCAAGGGGTGAAGGTATGTAACATGCAGTGATCAGGACATTTCAGAGAGCCCTCTTATAGGGAGTGTTATGTTACCGTTATTTTTTTACAGGCTAGAAAATATTAAGTCTCCAGCCAATCAGTGCTCACTTCCTGTATCACAACATTGTAATGCAGCTGCATGCAAGCACCCACGTCCACCAAAGCCCCTGGGGAACATCTCCCATGGGTTTGCTGCTGATAACAAACTGGGAACCTACCAGATACTCCAGACTCCTTCTCCTTCCTGCCCGTTTCAATCCCAGAAGCTCTTCCCTTTGTTTCTTGAGATCCCCCAAACGGCTCTGAATTTCTTCCTGGAGAAAGAAAAATGGTT